AATAGCCAAAAAGATCTAAAATGTATAGTTGTGATAATTTTATATACATAACAATTATCCATTTCATATAATAATAACATTATAAAGTTAAAAAGTAACATGAAAATAATTTGCATAATTATTTTCTTAAACGTTTCTAATTTATTGTAGACTTTGTTATTTAAACTGTTATTTTTCTTAATTATTTTTATAATTTTATAGTAATACATTTAGAAATGTAAAACTTACTGCAAAAAGATTGATGCTCAAAGAAATTGTACAAATTATTAATATTGCGATAAAGGATCCTTCAAAGCTGTAGATAACGGATTCAACATATCTTGAAAATATATTATTATAAATATTATAGAAACATTCTTGTATACATCATATACCAACTTTACAGCTTTGCGATGGATGTCGACGGCATAAATGATTTCTTTGTAAATCATGTTTTCGTTCTTTGTACAAATCTTTCTACATGATTTAATCGCCATTGCTCGCTCGATACGATAACTGTAAATTAATTATTTACTATATATATCTCTGTTAAACATATTATATAATTATATGTTTATAATTTTGTATGGATTTAAAGTTAAGTTTTTGCTTATAATCATATAAATTTTTTGTAATTCGTATAGATATATTTCTATTTTACCTAGCAATTCTAAATATTCCACACGCGTGTAGCACATATCCTAAAAGCATTGTGCCTGTCGCTGTTATTGTAGTTGCTCCGATACATAAGAATGTATTCATATACAGCGTAAGTATGAACCAGTACTTTTCTTTGAAATATTGATAAAAATATTCCTGCATTATCATGAAGTGTAGTAGTTCACGTGATTTATTTGTATGCAAAACAATATTAAGGAACTCTCTGGAGATTGAATTTAGAATTGGCATTATAACGCTAATAAATACGCAGAATATGCAGAACACTGAGAACATTTTAAAAAAGACAGTTTATAAACTTTATTATTAAACGATATGAGATTACAAACTGTTTTGAATTTTTTTGTTCTGTAACTTTGTTATTAATTTGATAGGTTTTGCAAAATATAATTGCCAAAAATTTCTTATATTTTAACGTACAAAATTATATATATATATATATATCCACTATTGTCAAAATACGCTTGCTTGAATGCTGTTTTATTTTGTTGTTTTTAACATATATTTATTTAAAGATAGAGCACATAATTTTTAGCTTATGTTTGATTAATTCAAAACGAATTTGAGGATAAATAAGGGCCAAATATTACTATTAATTAACAAGATATTAGAAATATATATATAATTTAAATATTACGAACGACTCGATAAAGATGAGGAACGTTTCAAGAAATCTTTCTATCTAATATCTTTTGGTCTAACTAAAAATTAATTAAGTTAATTTAATTGTTAATTTTTATTAATATTAATTTATTCAACTTTAAAATATATTATTACAATATATTATATCTTCTTACATGAAAGTAGAGTTGTATAACGTTTTGTGTTGTATCCATACTCTTTCATAATATTTATCTCATTTTCATCTCTCAGCTCATTACAGATTTGTTGTAGTTGTTCCATTAAACATCTTACCTTTTATAATATTTAAAATATTTCTTATTGGAAAACTTGGAAAAAATTATTATGTGTGTAAATTTTATTTATAAAAGATATTTGTTTATATGTATAAGGTGTTTGATTCTTAATGGTACATTACTTATGTGTAGATAGAGCGAGTAAAATTAAATAGAAAAATCCTCTATCTATTTTGCGATTTTCACAACTGATAACGAATTATTAATTATTAAAAATTGTTAAATGAGCGTATTCTCCCACCGGCTCACCGGCAAATGCCAAATACACAGCAAAATGTGACCGCCTAACGTTAGTATGGCACGTATGGTATGTGATGCCTAATCGCGCATTCACGGTTACTAGGGACACGGCGACATATTTAGTCGTGAAGTTTACAAATGACAGAACATCTGTTCATAGTGTACATCTTTAAACATTTCGTGCTTCTAACAAGCGCGTAATATTAGATGGTCATCACACGGAACATTAGACACCGGACATTAAACGTCTTGCTATATGTTTGGCATTTGCCGGTGGATATACGCTTATTTGACGATTTTTAGTAATTAATAACTCGTTACTTATTATTAAAATCGCAAAGTGATACACTTTTCTGTTCAGTTTCATTTGCTTTACCTGCACATAAGTAATGTACCATTATGAATCAAACACTTTGTGTGTGTGTGTGTGTGTGTGTGTGTGTGTGTGTGTGTGTGTGTGTGTGTGTGTGTGTGTGTGAGAG